GCATAATCTGCAAGCGTATCAAGGACACTTCACCCACATCCACCGGCTTTCAAGGAAAACATTTGTTAGTAAAAAATAGGGTAATTCCCCCTCGCCTGGATCCACAAAGGGGGAAGCAGGAGGTTGTACATTTTGCGAATTTCAGGTCAAAATCATATATATGACTTAAAGCATTGCATGGTGGATGACATAAAGTAGAAAGATTGCGAGAACACCATGTGGAAAGTAATCTCTTCTTGAGAGAAGTGTGGTTCTGAAAAGAACCGGTTGGTTGGAGTGCACAACTCGACGTTTCGGACAGTGTGCTCTGTCCGTCCGCAGGCTCATTTTCCTGAGGACGGACAGAGCACCCTGTCCGAAACGTCGAGTTCTACACTCAACCACTTGTTCTTTTCAGAACCACACTTCTTCTAAAAAGAGATCACTTTCCACATGGTATTACTCGCATTCTTTCTACTTGAAACTTATTTTCCTTCCAGAAATTAGCCATTTTGTTTTTCTGTGAACCCTCTTTTGCAGTCATCCCAAACTGCCTGAAAGGCAGCAAGTTACGCAAGCTGGCCAAAGATTTGGGCACCAAGGGCACAGAATTTGGAATTCAGTTGGGTTTCGATACACCAGAGCTTAACATTATCGAGAGCGATCATGTGAGAGACAAGGAGGGTGCGAATTGGGATATGCTTGACAGATACATCAGGGACCACGCTAAAGATACAGATCTGGTTGGCACGTTTCTGCAGGCACTTAAAGACATTGGTCGATCGGATTTGGTAGTTGGTGAGCATCTACGTCTTGTGTTTCCCCCTATTATTTCTAAAAAGGAAAGCAAATGTTATGTGCATTGAGTTAGGATGGAAATTGATAACTGAATTCAAGTTAATTGTATTCAGTCAATCAGAGCTAGGAACTCTAATATGCTGCACTGCAGTTACAGTTATGAATCTGAAATTCTTCTACCGTCATCTTTTTGCAGTAGGAACATGTCGGCCCTAAGACCGTCAAGCCTCGTCGTCACAATAATTGTCTTCCAACATCACCAGTGATAAACCTCAGTTTAAAAGTTCAAAATATTCAACAAAGTCTTTTTGAAGGCCCCTCTTAAAAAAAAACAAGTGGGGTTTATGAATCATATTGTTTGCCTAACCTGGGTCGTTAATAAAGATATTGTGCACTACAGTTGTTGACAGTTGTTGAAACAAGTATTCTGTGCCGTTGTTCCCAAACAGTCAGAATACACAATAAACTACTTTTTTTGGACGAAACAAGTTTTTAATAGGGTCATTGCGTTTAAATGGTGATATTCTTCGAACGGATTCAGCAATTTCAGTATTTTTTCATCTAAAGATAGCTTATGAAATTGGCTTTCCAGTCATTATTTTGTTTGGGTTTTATTATGATTTTGGGTTCCGCTTTTTTTGGACTGACCCTGTTTAACTGAATAAAATTAAACGTAAATATAAGTTTTAATCTATTCAAAATGTTATTTTCCACCTTTTCATCGCGTGTACTCTTTTTCATTTGGAATAAGTTATCTTTTCTTCCAACAATTATGCTTTTTATATAGCACTAGAGGAAGCAGCAGAGGCCGACGGGGATCTGCGGTAAAACTTATAGCGCCCTCAATCCATCACCCAACGTTGAGAAGAGCCTTACCGGCCATGCGAAACGGAGGCTTGAGTTACATATTGTCTACACCATCTTCTACATGTATATAATGTCGGATGCAGCTCTTTAAAGGCATAATACAGGGTGAGTCAAAATAAGCGGAACCCAAACCCCCCAAAATATATTTCATATGTTAAAAAAAATGTAGCTCCAAAATAATAATGACTGGAAAGCCAATTTCATAAGCTACTTTTAGATGAAACAAATATTGAAATTGCTCAATCCATTCAAAGAATATCACCATTTAATCGCAATGACCCTAACCCCCCCCCCCAATTGTTTGTGTGTTTTGACTGTTTGGAACAAAACAAAATGACACAGAATACTTGTTTCAACAACTGTCACCAACTGTAGTACACAATATCGTTATTAACAACCCTGTTTAGGCAACCAATATGATTTATAAAATGTACTTTTTAAAAGACAGGCCTTCAAAAGGACTTCGTTAAGTATTTTTAACATTTAAACTGAGATTTTATCGCTGATGTGTTTGAAGACAATTATGGCGACGATTCTTGAAGTCGCATTTTTGGACGAGACAGGTTTGAGGGTAATTGTGTTTAAATGGTGATATTCTTTGAGGGGATTGAGCAATTTCAGTAATTTTTTCTTTTAAAAGTAGCTTTAATGTGAAATTGGCTTTCCAGTCATTATTTTTGGTGCTAAACATTTTTTTAAATATGAAATTTAATTTTGGGGTTTGGGTTCCGCTTTTTTGACTCACCCTGTAGGATCACTGCAGGTCATGTATTTGTTCGTTTTCAGAAATAACCCCACTCCAAGTCCAAGTCCAAAGGATCATATGTTCAAAACCTAGCCTGAAGTTTCATCTCAGTCAGTGAATATTACATATCATTGAGAAAATAGTGGCAAACCATGCACGACATTATTATCATGAAGCTCCGAAACACCATTTCGTCAATACCACTCTCCAGGTTATAAAGTCAGTCAGTTGAATATCGATGGAAATCACTTTTCTTGATTTCTTCGAAAATACAGCAAGCTAGACGGGGCCATTTCGCAGCATGTTTCAATGATCCTATATATGCCTTTAATTCATCGACTATACAGAATCATAGCCACTAATTTTACGCACTTAAGCGATTTGTAGTAATGCAAAAGTAGTTTAGATGCAGGGGTGATTTTCGACTGGAGGATACAATTCGTTTTTAAATTTGGAGGACTTTATATTACGGCAAAATGTATATATTTAATTTTTAATTTTCGAAAAAAAGTTGGCCTAATTGAAAATGTTGGAATTGGTGAATACCAGGACAGGTGAAAGTTAAGTATTTTTGGTATTCAATTGCAAATTTTGCTTACTTCTAATTCGAAACTGTTTTAAATAAGGCATTTTATCGATATATCTGGGCACATTTATACTGCATCTTTTTAATCTGTAATTATGATCATAATTATTCTTTAAAAACTTTGATAAAAGAGACGATGTTTCCCTAGTTTTTATAGGGACTTCTTACTTTCAACCTCGTTTTCGATTGTGCTAGAGGGAAACTGCTTTAATGTATTCTGATTCGATACCACAATAGCAAGCAATGTATTTATATCGGACAGTTGGTGATTTATTTCCAATTAACGTCAGTGTCTTAACGCTCATTGTGAATTAAGTCCACTCCTCGAAAATATTATCCTCTCTTTTCCATTTGGCTTATAAAAAGAAATATTATGTACTATAAGATGGAATTTTTAAACGTCAGTGAAGGACAAAACCTAATTTGATTAATATTATGTACATTTGTTACGCTTCATATCAAATGATAATGACATATTATAAGTTTGTAAAAGTCTCCGGCTTATTTTTTTTTTTTTTGGGGGGGGGGGGGGTCTAAAGCCGCGACCAATATTGCGCCTGTGTTCCGGACACTGCGCACACTATAGATGGCTAGGTACCAGACTATTCCGTACCTAATTTGCATAATTTATGCAACATTTTTGAACATGCAAGTGATCCAGTACCGACTGATCTCCACAAAATAATGGAGATCAATGTTCATCAGATCATTGATCTCCATTAACAATGGTTTTGACCTCAAAACGCTGCGTTCACCTCCGTGTTATTATAGCCTAGGCGAACATTTTGGCAACCACATTGAATAAAACTTACCCCAACGATGCCGAGATGGCATTTAGTATTTTGGAATAAGATGGGCTCTGTGGTCTTAAAACCATTAAAACCACTTTGCACTAAAAAACTGGGATATTTGGTCGACTGCCGAATAAACTCGGTGATAATTATGCGTACTTCAAAAAAATTATTTAAAATAATCACAACTCTGCAAGGTGTTTGAGACAGCCTTCAATTTAAAGCTTAGTTCATCATCTTTCATTTTCTGTTAAATTCTCAGGTGGTAAGCCAGTTGCTTTTCTGAGAAACTCCCATTGAAAAATGATCACCCCTAAAAGTAGTCCGATGGCCCGTCGCCATTTTGAATTTAATGATGTCTGCGCTCCATTTCAAAATAGAGCAATTTTAGGGCCCAATTGCAACCGAATTTCATAGAAATACGATCCACCCATCCATTTTTTACAAACCGTCAACTCATGGCCAACAAAATACTCTTAATACCAAAGAAATTGAAAGCATACACATCGTGATGTAGCCCGGCGCGTAGGCAATTGTGGTCCTATTGCAGGTCTGTGGTGACCCTTTATAGACACGGGTGGCTGAATCACAAAAAAGCACAGACATTCACCATTGCTGACTGGGAATTATGGGGGACTTTCCGTATTTGTGGCTAGTCTCCTCACCAGCCGACGTCGCTATTTCGGTATAGTAGCAAATTGGATTTGAAGACAATTCGCTCGACGTACTAATCGTGTTTTGTCCATTGACACCGCCCTCGTCTTCTACAGTGGCGCTCTGTGTTCATGGGTGTTGATCACGGTAGTTGTGGTGATGGTGGGGGTGGGGGTGGGGGGGGGGGGGGGGGGCAGGGGAATATCCCCCAAAACTGTTTTTGTCGGCGCGTACGCCAATGGCCGCAATGCCCACTCCCCCCAATATATTATCCAAGTCGATTTTAACCAAAATAATGTACATGAACCAATGGTGGATGCGGCGGGGGGGGGGGGGGTGTCTTTTCTTTTTTTCTTGTTTCTTTTGCTGTCAACTGGTTTATTGATCACAAAAACAGAAATGTTCACATACATATTGCGTAAATCTATGCCCCGCTTGTATGTTTGTGTTGGCCTCCATTTTCGGCGCCCCATGGCGCCCCCTTTCCCGTTAATGCTGGATCCACCGTCCATTAAATTGCGCTGCATTAAGTCCCTAACCAAAGCCAGACAATTACCGACTTGAATTCAAGTCTACGTGCAGTCGCAACAGTGCAACGGGACGCATGCTTTTTGAGTTGCTCAGCGCACAAATCTGAAGTTAGATCATCACGTTTAACTTGCTAAATTTAGCAGGATTTGTCCTTCTTTTGAGCCTTCAAAATTTCTACTTTCTTCGAACATCCTCCATCCTCATTCCAGCGTAAAGTAAGTATAAATCCATTGAATTTAAAGGTACTTTGGTAGGAATTGTCAGATGACATGTGCACTGTTACGTACGTTTTGCATTTGTGCAAATTGTTGGCCATTTTTTGTCGAGCTCCCTGAATGAATTTCATTAATTGATTACATTGTACTGGAATGGCGCCAGACTATTTATGCAGGCACAATGCAGCCTTATTTTACTGTCACTTTTTTAAAATATGGCTTTAAACATTAGGGAATGTTTAATTATATATTTTAAATTATTCATTGAAGCAGACTTCAATTTATTATAAATTAACTTGTTTTCATTTCTCATCGCAAGTTCCAAAAATTAAAATTTTATCTGACTTTCAATTCAAAATGGCCGACTCGTGAATAAGGCCCATTCTGTTTTTTTGTCCTCCTAGTTTTGCCACGCATAAGGCCCGTTCCAGATAAAAATGTATTTCTCAATCCTCCCAGGTCAGAGGCTCACTTCTCGAAAACGATTCACGGGCATTAACACACGATCAAAAAACAGCCAATTTGCATCCTACTATTTATATATATTTTCACAATGAAGGAGAGCCTAAAACGAGTAATTATTGTTTTTGGCACAAGATTGTCATATCACACGTTCACCATTCAACAGCAACAGTTGCAACACTAGCGAAGCATTGTGTTGACGTGGGTGCTACATACAGTACAGCGTACGTTGTACGGTAACCATGGATACACCGAGTTGACCTCTGAGTGACCTCGCGCTCGAGCAGCGTATTAAATGTTTCCAATGCGCAACGCGGTGTCCTATTAAATTTGGACTCCTATGAAATTTGGTCTATTTTACTTTGCATAGACACTTACCCTCACACGTGACCTGTCACTAATCTAATTATGATCACATATAAGGCACGAGCAGTACATCCAACGAGTCTTCTGAACATCGATAATTTGAAATTGGTCATTATGACACCCCCAAAAATATCCAGTTAAAGCTCTGGTTATTCGTAACATTTTTTTAACTCCGATTGCTTTCAGAACAACAAGAAATGAGATCAGAGAATAGTGGCTTCTAGGACTATCTATATTTTAATGGTGCAAATGTGTTCCACTTTAATTGGAGCATGGTTAGCTATACCCCATTTTTGAGCTCTGACTAAGAATTGGCTAATGAGGAAATGCCCTGTTGTGATCATAAAATACACTCTTGATGACAGTTTTCGGAACACGTTTTTGTTTCAATCGATGCGCATGCGCCTTTCTTTTGGGCATATGTCTGCTCCCAAAAATTGACCAAAATTAACCTCATAAGTTTCCCACAAAATATAACTACCAAATTGAAATTTTTACAACAAAATAAAGATGTTTATGAAAAAATTGTAAATTGCAAAATATGTTCAGTAATGTTATAGTCACGTGGTACTTTGTGTATGGTTAGACGGTATCCAGGAGGAAATGTCCCCAAAATTGACCATATGTGCCATCGGCGTCGCATATTTCGACAGAGCTTACTGTGCACTCGCACTTGTTTTATATTACAGCAAAAGTATCCCCTCCTGAACTAAAGACAATCGTTTATCAAGGGTGGAATCAAATTAACGGTTTCCATTTCTGCATTTTTTCTATCAGTCGCAGAAACCAAGAGTCTTATGACTGAACAATCAACAGCTCCAGGACAACTTCACGGTCCTCAATCGATGCCCTCGAGTGGTATGGATGAGAAAGGTAAGTCTAAAACCTGGGAATTTAAACTGAAGACTAAAAGCAATATTTTGGGCCGCTAACATGTTTTAGAGTATTTTAGGATTATTGAATCTTTCAGTCAGTGGGTTGTTTGGCGTGTCTTTATGCAATTCTGTAGCTGTTTCCCTCGCATGCATGGTTTTAAGCTCTTGCAGGAGCTTCTACATGCAACCTCGTCTCCAGTGCTTACTTTATTTCCAACCTCGTTTCCAATAGTAAGCTCTGGAGTAAGCTTGTGCGGTAATGTTATAGTCACGTGGTATTTGTTGTAGTGGTTGGACGGTATCCAGATGGGGGAAAATAAAAATTGACCCAAAGTATGGTGTTTCATATGCGCCGCCGGCGTCGCATTTTTTTCGCCAGAGCTTATTGTGCACTGACACTTGTTTTGGGTTCCGTCATCCGCGATAATATCCCTTTTCTAAACCAAAGGCGATCGCATTAAATCAATTTTTGGCTGTTCATATCACGTTAATTACCAAAGTTTAGATTTAATTTATATAGGCTATACTTTTTTCTTGTGCCTCTTAATATGTTCAGAATTATAACGATCGATATTATATAGGTTTTCCCAGCTATTTTAAAACGTTTATCATTTGAATTGACAGTTTTCAATATTCAAATTCGTCCATCAACATCGATTTAGTTCACTGCCAATGTTTAATTTCGTCTTTTGTCAAACAATTTCAAATTCAGTTCAAGCCACTTCAAACAATGAGCACGCGTTTTCGTCCCAGAACATTCATTTTCGTCTCGTCTACGCCAAACCTTTTTATTCAGAAATCAAATTCGTCTAATTGATTTATATAAGACGATTTAGTCTCTGAATGCTGCCATTCGGCAACAGCTTAGACGAATTTCATTTGCAATGACGAATAGTCTAGACCCAGTGACTAAAGAGAGTGACCAAACTTTAAACTTGAAGGTAAACGACTAAATTGCATGGTTTTGAATAGGCGTGTTAAAATTTTTCGTGGACGAAATTCAATATTAGAGTTGGGGAATTTGAATGAAAAATATTTTAAAATAGCCAGGAAAACCTATATTACTTTAGTCTGTTCACTACGCCCCCAGGAATAGGGGAGATCGTGTCTATTTTGTTTCAATTAAATCTGCAGTTATCCCGCAATGCTTGCAAGACAGGAACCTCGAGAAGATCGCCAAAGAATTGGGTAAAGATGGGAAGTCGCTAGGCCGGCAGTTGGGGTTCAGCGAAGGGGAACTCCAATGCTTTAAGAACGACAACAAAGACAATCTAAAGGAGGAGATCATCAGCATGCTTACTGCGTATATCAACACCAAAGCCCATGGTGACCCCGTAATGGAATTACTGAAGGCTCTTAAAGAGATTGAGCGCATGGATTTATACACAAGTGAGTATCTCTGTTCTTTCTTTATTTAACAAAAATTGAAATCAAAATTACACTGCTAAATCTGCATAGCGTTAATTGTAAAGTGAATGCCCCTCTACAATCTGTACGAAATTTAAACTATTTTAGCACCCAAGTCTTCTCAACACAAAGTAAAATGAGCCAGTGCGTAGTAGAATAGGAAATGGTTTCTACAGAAAAAGCTACAGAGGGATATGTAATAATTTTGACTTGTTCGTTATTGGCTTTTATACAACACCTGAATAAATCCCCGTCATCTGATTGGTGGATCGTTGATCACATGTCTTGAATTATTCGTACCAATGCACGGCGTGCGCGTGGCTGACACTGCACATGTTGCCGATGGTGGCGCTGTGGTGTTTAAATTGGCAATAAAAGTTCTGAACTTATTGAACTGTTTGAGTTCTAAACTTATGGAAAAGTTTTAAGGTGAGATAAATTGAATATTATAGTTCTCAACCTGTTGAACAGTTTGCATAATATGATAACTCTGAACTTGTCAAACTTGTAAACAATTTTTAACCTGAATAAATTCGCTATTAAAAGTCAACCAATCAGATAACGAGGATTTATTCAGGTTTTATATAAAACAAATAATGAATGTTTTACGTTCGTGCAATAGAAAGAATAATTTCATTCAGTGACAGATGAAATGTTCCATTCTACTCGGCTTCGCCTAGTGAAATGGAACATTTCATCTGTCACCTCATGAAATTATTCTTTCCATTGCACTCACAACATTCATTATTTGTATAATAACATCGGAAGGGATACTGCATGGGAGTATTATTCTATTCGTTCGTTTTATTCTCTAAAACGCGATACTTAACGCGAATAAACTAGTTTCTGAGGCGCCTGCGCACGCGCACCTGAAAAGGAATTTGTTAATAAATTACAACCATTGAATAATCTTTTGTGATTAGGAATTTCGCTTTACCGCAGCAGCATAGGGCCGATACATGTATAACTCAATGGGGCGCCGCCAGTACTAACGATAACACTCCTATATACTCGCGTAATAACTTCAGGTTGCAATTACTTACTTATTATAACAACGTCGGTCTGCTCTTGCAGTCGGCGATTGATACCGCTGTAAGAGTTTATTCCTATTTGGTAACGGTGGGCATGATGACTTAACGATGCCTTTTGCTTTTGCTTTCCTTTAACTCTACAGAACTGCAGAACGCGGCAGAAGAAAGTGGCGATCACAAGTAGAGAAGACATCGCACCCAATCAGCAGCGTATCCAGCTTTTGATGTGGGGGGGGGGGGGGGGGGGGGCAACCGCACATCCACACCGAAATGTAGACATGTTTTTTTTCTCCGGACACTTGCCCTCCGTAAAATCAAAAAGCGCAGGGGGGGGGGGGGGGGGGGGCCTGGTACCCGTCTTCCAAATGGGGGCGCTCTTCAAAACTTACCATTATTATGTATACTACATTATTATATGGTAGAATCATGGCGCATTGTTTGAGCGGGTTTTCTTTAGTGGTATTGATGTCAAAAGAACTCTATAAACATTTAGTTAAATCATTGCTGACACAACTGTCAAAAAAAATACGCCGGGGGGGGGGGGGGCAAAGTGGCCCCCTGCCCCCGCTGGATACGCCACTGCACCCAATCCACGACCAAAAAAGGTGTTTTTATAAACAATCGGAAAAGCCAACATTCAAGTAATTAGCAGGATGCCCTATTTTTCTCAAAATGTAAACCATGAGTTTTTTAAAACAATTATAAATTTATAAACTCCTGATAAACTGCCTTTGTCTTTACAATAACTTGATATAAAATGACAGGAAGGATTTTCTCTTGATGATTTCAGTACTGGACTACTTTTATAGTAATTTGAAAACATACACGTTTAACTCGGTAGGCCTACCTGTGTTCTGTGTGTTTACAGGTGCTTTTCCCCGTGCTATTTTTGATTTTCATCCCCAAAGAAGGTTCCTTCAATATTGCTACTTTTCTAGCAACACAAAAGTTATTCACTTTTGAATGAGACATGGACCGAAAAAAATTGCCATTGTTAAGTTCGTTTTTGGCGGGATTCGCTGGTTTCCGGCCAGCCTCACATTCAGTGTCGATTATGTGCAGACCGGAGCCAGTCTGCTTTTTTATTTCTTGCCGATGCCCCAAAAAGAAAAATTGTTTTTTATTTTTGTTGTTAGAAAAACACACAGGTTAAACATTCGTTATTCGAGAGAAAAATATCGACTTACTGAGCAACTTTACGGGAAGCATTACAATGCCACACATTATTTTTGACAATGATTTAATTGACCACTGATGCATGCATCTTGCTTTGAGCTTTTTCAAAATTTCATTATAAATCCTGACATAAAAGAAAGGTGTCGTGTGACATATCCTGTTTTCTTTCGTTCGTGGCCATGTTAAACACTATAACTGTAAAAATCTGTATTTCAGTGACTGAAGTTGAACCCTTTTGATTCAAAAACCAAATGTTTGGTTTGTCATTGGTCATGTACAGGGTGAGTCAAAAAGAAAGTGATCGAATTAGAAAAAAAACCAGTTAATTAAAAAAAAAGTGGCTCACTGCATTTCATAAAAAATAACATAGGCATGGTTGATGTTATTGACTAGTGTGAAAATGTCACGTAATTTGCGTACTCTATTCCCAATTTATGTCTTTTTAATTAAAAAGATCACAAAATTCAGCTGTCCACCACTGATCATTTATTGCTTTACGATCTGATCGTAGGGGATATATACCCCATCCCCCGGGATTTACGCTTCTAGTTCTGAGGCCTGTGTCATGTACTGGGAATCGGATATCTTAACTATAAATCAAGAAATTGTATCACGAGATGCTGGGCAGTGGGGAGGAGTTTTCATTCACATTCATTTAAATGTGATAGGGAGAATGCGGTTTAGTATTATGGATGGGGGCTGACCTGCATTTTTGTCAAACTGATTGATAACTGTGTTTCATCGCATTTTCCGAGGAAAAGTAAAACAAGAAGGAAAAACAGCTGCCGACGGACGCACCCATTCAGATTAGATTTTTGGACATACAATCCTCAGTTTCTTTGAATTGACGCCGCGCTAGACCGCTACAGGGAAACTTTTGTCTTAAACCGAAGCAGGATACCATAAGCCTGAAGACATAATGGACTTCAGGTAATTAACCAAAGGATTTTAAATTACTAGATTTCTTAAACAATACATTTCGTCGTCCAACAAATTACAAGTACAAACGTAATACATGGTGTGCGATCATTTCTTTCGATTACCAAAATACATTGGATGTCATCGATTCCGGACCGATAGCAAAAATAAGGGATCAACATGCATATACTTAATAGTGAGCATAAGCAGTGTTGTAGTCGAGTACTTTTTTCGGAGTACGAGTACTGCCGAGTACTGAGGTTGCCGAGTACGAGCATGAGTATTACTTGTATCTCTGAGTACAATTACAGGTCTCCGAGTACGAGTACGAGTACTTCCGAGTACGAGTAGTTGTATTTCCGAATACGACGATACGGCAAATGGTTCATTGTGCGTTACTGGCCCAGGCTCAGTCAGAAGACCATCAGATCAACTGGAACCAAGCAGAACTCATCACTAGCATCGAACGCTGGTACCCCCGCCGCAACAGAGAAGCCATCGAAATCTTTAAACACAACACCGTTGACATCGGTTTCTCCATCAGCGACATCTGGCGCCCCATCCTCACCTCCCAGTCCAACGGGTCTCCTATACCCCAGGGCAACTCACTTCACCAGCCTATGGGTCCCCTATACCCTCAGCAACCTTCCCCTTTGTTCCCTTCCATCAGAATCACACGCCTCATTGATCTTCCAGCATCCCCCTCGGCCTGCATGGGCAGCCTCACCGCTTGCATCAGGATCCCGGGTCTGCATCCCTATCACGCTTCATCGGTTCCAGGCACCATATAAACCCACTTCACCGTTGGAATCCCTCAGTCTCCTGACGACGGGCAGAGTATACTGTCCGAAACGTTGAGTACCCTCCGGTTCTTTTCAGAACCACTTATATTCACAAGAGAGATTTACCACATGGTGCTACCGCAACAACTTACCTTTTAAATCTCACAAGAATTACATGTTTGTGCCCTTTCGCGCCCTTTACTTATCATGACGCACAATTCAAACCACTAACCGACGCACGACGGGTACGACGCGACGCCAGACTGTGAATACAACCAATAGAGAGAAAGTGACGGCGCAGCGCGAAGCGACGATAAGATCCAACGGAGCTGTCGTGCCGTCGTGTCATACAGTGTATTAAAGATGCGCTCGACGCCGAGTGTCGTCCATGCATAGTACAACACTACGTGTCTGTAGGCATGTCTTGGGCATGTCTTGGCCCTTACTGCAACTGTTCACTTATTCACAATTTCACGGTCAATTTGCTCTCAGATTATTGGTCCTTTCTATCAAGCTTCAAAACATTTTCTTTTACTACAGTTCCATTTTAAACCTACAACGGCGCCTGCGCATACTGATGCTACGGTCCGAAATCTCCCACAACCTTGAATATATAGAATGGTGCTAAGTATAACCTGTCGAGCCTTTTGGTGAGATTGATAGCTGTAACACGAAGCATCCAGTGGCATCATCAACGATTATCATTCGCTCGTACCCCCCCCCCCCCCCGCCCTTCAAACAGGACGCTGGGATACTCTGATGAGCTTCACAGAAGGAAGTGGCCTACGACGTGGCCTATGTATAAAGCATCTGGCTGCAGCTGTTGAAGACCGCAGTAAGACAATATGTGCAAATGCTATCCGAAAACTTTCCATAGAATCGCGCATATTCCATACCGGATGTGAATCCTGTTTCATTGCGGACCATGTGGACAAAATTTGAGCGTCGCATAATGCAATCCGACCGTTCGTGATTCGAAACGGAGCCTGAGCGAGTGACGGGAATCGTAAATTTACAACACAGATAACTTTTACAGCATTTCCAACATTATTACGCTTTTCAACGAGAAAATAACATCTCTTAACTGAAATAAAAGAGTAATGAATCAGTCTTAACGGCTGTTTTAAACCTTGCAGATTCATGACCTTAATGACGCGCAGGTCACTGGTCACGCAAAATCCAACCAATATCAGAGCGTGAATTCATCAGAGTATCCCAGCGTCCTATTTGCAGGGCGGGGGTACGAGCGTACGATTCGATTATCAATGCTTCACCGTTGACACAAAATCACGGAACTATAGAGGGCGTTCGTTAATGAGACATATCTGTTTCACATTTTTTCAACGGCACAATCGCGCCATAGAGCAAATACCCATAATACTTGACAAACATAAAATGTTCAGTGACCTAGATGACAATTTGCTTGTTTAATCTAAACTGAACATGTCAGGGACGAATAAAATACAAGCTCCTTTAGCGAAATATTGATTTGATTCATAACTTTCTGCGGAATTATGTAAAGCTATCAGCAACACTCTAAAACTCTGGGTCAGATTTGACCCACAATCCAGGCTCTGCAAAATGGCATTTGTCGACTTCCGGGACAAAATTATTGTTTTTGGGGTCCAACTGAAAATGGTCAATTTGACCCGGAAATGTGTCAGGCCCTATGATTCTGGGTCAAACCTGACCAGTGACTAATTAGTCTAATGTAATGAACACTTCTTTTTCAGCCAAACAGCTCATATATCTCAAAATAAATGATATAAAGTGAGACCAATACCTGAATAAGCTAGTGGTAAGACCCCGAGTATGAAAGGTTAAAGGGAATATACAACATTTGCAAACATCGAAAAATAAAACTACCAAGTTTTTGTGAAACACCTTACTAGGATGTTGGTAAATGCCAGCCTAAAGCATCCTGTGAAATTATGGCACAAGGGGTCAAGTCATTTTCAAGAAAAATGTATTTTTGTGTACATTTCCAACGGTGGTCGGCCGACCACCGTTGGAAAAACCTAACTACTTTTCAACTACTGCTCCGAATTAACAATTTTTTCTGTCCAAATTTTGTTTGCTATTGGTTACATGTTCATGAACGGGTGCAGGCCAGCTAGACTGGTTCCCCTTACCTTACAATTTTCTGACATCTATAAATTGATCAATTTTATCTTTAGTGGAGTCGAGGAACCAGACTACTTAAACATTTTTTTTTTTTGGTTTTTCAAGCATTTTCGAAGACAAAACTTCAAACATGTCGGTTAAACAATATTGGATCTATTATACTAACCCCTTGAATAGTTCCTTTCTGAAAATTGCAGCAAAAGCCAATGATGTACATTCCCTTTAAGTGACAAT